TATTTTTGGTAGAGATGAGGTTTCACCATCTAGGCCAGGCTGGTCTCGAACTCCTGACCTTGTGATCTGTCCACCTTGGCCTCCCAAAGTGTTGGGATTACAGGTGTGAGCCACTGTGCTTGGCTGTATGTATTTTTTTTGAAAAGAAATAAAATGAGTTCATACTAGTGTTTCCCATATAAATATATTATTGTAGTGTTTTAAAGAAAACTTACTTTTGTTGCACACTTATATTTTCTATTACATTGAAAACATCTTGGCTCCATTTGATGTTAGCATAATTATTTTATGTGCTTTATCCTGTAGTGGATATAAGAATTTAAGAAATAATAGGAATATTATTAATAACAAGAATACTATTGAATGAAATGTTAAGATTTCTTTGCCTTTTTATTTGCTCTGGGAATATGTACCACTGTTGATGTAGAGTCATAATATTGTGTTCCATGTCAATTTAAAATAATTATTTTTTCTGTGTTCATATGTTATCAGTGGGATAGTCCATTAGGTTGATTTCCATTAATTTTCAATTGTTAGAGTTTTCTTTTACAATTTAAAAATGATTCATTCATTTATTCATTTGTAGTCAGGGGCTAGGTCTGTTGCTCAGGCTGGAATGCAGGGGTGCAATCATAGCTCACTGCAGCTTTGAACTCCTGGTTTCAAGCCATCTTCCAGGCTTCCAGAAAAAAAAAGTTCCTATTTCAAGCAGTTTCAGAAAGTAATAGTTCCTCATCTCTCCAGTGAGACTTCAGTAGTTCTGAACTATTAGCCATCATTCTGGTTTAAAAAAAAAAAAAAAGAAAAGAAAAGAAAAAAAGAAAAGTCACAAGTGTGAGCACTGTGCCTGGACTATTTTATGTATTTTCAAAATTTATTTTTATGTTTTCTTTTTAAGAGATGGGGTCTTGCTATTTTGCCCAAGCTGGCCTCAAACTCTTGGGCCTAAGCAATTTTCCCACCTCAGCCTGCCAAGTAGCTGGGACTATGGGCATGCTCCATCATGCGTGTTTTTTTTTTAAATTCAATTTGTTAATATTATTAATATAATGCTATTCCAGAGCCAAAACTACAGAAGGCACATCAAGAGAGGACTCAGTTTTCCATTCTTGTCTCCTCCACAGTGCTCCCTCTCCCATACAAGTTTTTGGTTTATCGATCTAGTGTCTCGTTTTATAAATATTAGCAGACGGAAATATCTTTATATCCCCTCCAGACCCTTTCATCCATTTTTATGGTAAATATACTACTAGTGAATATTGACGTTTGAGAATGAGTTTTCTTTTTTTTAACCTTAACGATGGCTAATAGTTCAGAACTACTGAAGTCTGGCTGGAGAGATGAGGACTATTACTTTTTAAAAGGAACACTTTTTTCTGGAAGCCCATTTTTCCCGAAAGAAACAGTCATTTTTTTCCCTTCATTTTCTCCGCGCCTCTCTAAGCTGTCAGGAAATAATTCAACGCAATTCGGGCTGAAGCGTGTGCTTCGCCGCCAGCGGTCGGATCACAGTCCATTCCGAGGCTGCTCGGAAGAGGGAGTAGCGGACGCTCGCGTCGCTGGTGTTCTGCCCTGAGGCTGACGCCCCTCGTTACTCCCTCCATTCTCTCCCATATCTGGGAGAAGCACAGACATCTCTCTCTCTCTTTTTTTGGTCTCCTAACGCAGTTGCTCGCCCACCAGCTCCCTGGCTCTGCCACTCCCGGGCGCGGGGGAGCTGGGGCCTCCCCGCCTGCGCACGGCGGTTCTGGGATTGGGGGCGGGCGCGCCGCCTCTGTCTCCCGCGCTCGCTGTCTCCCGCCCTCCCCGCCTCCTGCGACCTCCTGCCTCAGCCTTGCAGGCTCCGCACTGCAGATGCCCGCTGGCTTCCCTGCGCTCTGTGGCTCCCGCGGTGCCCCACAAGTCCCGGTGACCCTCCAGCACCTGCTGCGCGCTCCTTTTTCCCAGGGGCCGGTCAGCCGCTGAGAGTGGATCGCACTCACTCAGCCCTGAGAGCGCATCCGCTCAGCTAGTGGGGCAGCGGGGACCGAGGCAGACGGTGGCCACGCCGGATCCCGGGCGCTCCCGGATGCGGCAGGACAAGCTGACCGGCTCTCTGAGGCGCGGAGGAAGATGCCTGAAGCGGCAGGGCGGCGGCGTGGGCACCATCCTGAGCAATGTGCTCAAGAAGCGCAGCTGCATTTCCCGGACTGCGCCCCGGCTGCTCTGTACCCTGGAGCCGGGTGAGGACCCGGGGCTGCAGATGGGGCGCTAGAAAGTAGCACAGGGACTGCCCGCGCTTCTGCCTTAGCCTGACTCCGAATAGGCCAGGGAGGGTCTGTGTGCCACCCGGTGCTGGGCACCGCATTGGCACCTGCGGGGCACGATCGGTCTGGGAGGACAGAGGGCAGACGGGGGCCTGGATGGGGCAGCGGCCTCTCCAGGCGCTGAGAACCTGCCGCTTCCACCTGCTGCCCGAGGACACCCACCCTGCGGCCTATGCGTTCGGTCTTCTCCGTGTGGCGGGGAAGTGCGAGTGGTTGCCAGAGCTATCAGAAGCCGCACTACCTATTGTGCTCCGGGCTCGCAGGAACCCAGACCTTGCGAGAGGTGTGTGTGGGCGGAGAGAGAGATAGGTTTGACACTGGAGGTCAGAGGGGAAAGGCAGTGGCTGCAAAGGCAAAATCGGGTGTATTTTCCTGCAGCATGAGTGCCGGGGTCAGCTCGAAAAGGAGCCTGTAATTTGTGAGTGCGGGTGGGGAGCAGCAAGAGATCCTTTTCATAGGTAAGGTCCGGGAGGGAGCGAGCCTGGCTGTGCTAGGCAAGGCCCTCCCAGCCGTCAGCCTGTGTTTACTGCTCCTTGCTTCTCCAGGCTGCATTAACTCCGTGTCGGCTCCATCACCCGGCATACCTCCCTGGGATTTTAAGAGCCTAGCCCTAGCGCGGGTTCCTGGGCCCAGAGGTTTCTAGCAAGGAGTGGCCGCAGAGGGTGTTGGCTGTACTCTCATTGGTGCGTGGCGCTCACCTGTCCCCTGGAGTGGCACCGGCTGGGCTCCAGGCGGGTTCAAGGTCCCCGGACCCCGCCCCCCAGCGCCTTCGGGACCTGCTGTAGAGCCACAGGAGAATGGAGGCACCAAAACCCAAAGGCGGGGGGGAAGGGGATGTGGCGCTGCCTTTCCCAACCTCGTGGTCTCTTTGTTTTTCTCCCCTAGGAAGTGTCTAGTTGCAGAGGCTGTCGTATTTATTCACTATCCTCCTTTACCTCTTCTAATTCTTTTTAAAAAATTTCCTTCCCACGTTAAAAGTGTTTTGTATTTCTGAATCCAGAACAGCTGTGATTATCAGATGAAACATAAACCTTCTCTCTGCTCTTATTCTGTTAGAAGAAAAGGGGAGTGAAAGTGACCTGGTTTAAGCCTTTGCATGCAGGCGGCGAATCATCAGTTTCAGTTAAATCCTCTTGCTCATTTTTGATCATGAGAGGATAGTTGTGGTTTTGGCCAACTAACTCCCGCTGGATTTCACTGTGGGAAGGCAATCAGCACGATACTCAGCAGGTGCCCTGGAAAAGTCAGAGGAGCATATTTGGTCAAATCCTTTTAGTGCTGCAAGAGTAAGTCAGCGCAAGACTGAATTTCCTGGTCTTTGTTATAATGCAAACGTCAGGATTATACACTCCTCAATTCAGCACCCCGAGTCCGGACAGCAACCTCACATCAAGGTCTCGTTTCAGAGTGCCATAAAGTGTGCGCTAGGGCTGGAAACGCTCCTGTTGTGGCCATTGTATCACCGTTCTACCTTTGGGAAAGACTTCGTTTAAACTACTTCAGAGAGAGGCGGATCCATGGGGTATTTAATAGTCCTTCAGAGAAAAAAAATCTTATCCATCCAGGCAATGTGTGGCATGGCCCTGAAGCTTTGAAAAGAAATATCAAGGCATTGATTGGGTGCATGAGATTCTCTGCCACAGCTTACTTTGGAAACCTAGGACCCAACTCATACATTTACAGCACTCTTCCAGGATTCCAAGAACATCTGCATATTGTCAAGGGCTTGCAAAAATCAGATACATCTCTTTCGAGCTTCTTGACTCCATGTATATATATATTTGAAAAAACCAATCTACTTGATTACTTACTATTATTTAATAAATTCTGATAATTCTGAAGATTGCTCATATTCATACCAACCCCTAAGAAGTGGAAGTTGTGGAGAAGTTTTCAGTACACCTCATCTGCAATCAACAGTCTTAGAAACAAAAATGCCATCATTTGACTTTTGCAATTTATAAAACTCAATGTTATTGATAACATTTGGCATTTCTTAGTCCTTAAACTTTTGAGCAATAAAAGAATGGGGCCTGGTGCAGTGGCTCATGCCTTTAATCCTAGCATTTTAGGAGGTTGAGGCAGGTGGATTGCTTGGGTCAGGAGTTTGAGACCAGCCTGGCCAACATGATGAAACCCTTTCTCTACTGAAAATACAAAAATTAGCTGGGTGTGATGGCATGTGCCTGTAATCCGGGCTGTTCGGGAGGCTGAGGTGGGAGGATCACTTGAGCTCAGGAATTCAAGGCTGCAGAGTGCTATGATCGTGCCTGTGAATAGCCACTGTACTTCAGCCTGGGTGATATATTGAGACTCTATCTCTTTAAAAGAAGAAAAGGAATTGAGACTGAGATAGGTTAGATACATTGTTTCAGTCTAGGAACCAAGTTGAATGGAGGACTTTGTGACTCCAAGCCTGTGGTGTCATTTTTTGTTTTTGTTTTTTGTGGTACTCCAGGCATCTGTGTAAACCACCATCATATGTAGTAAGGCATATTCTATTGCTGTAGGGTATTTTCCTATTTTAATAATCAATATACTTACCTTTTAGTAAAATAGACTAAAATTTAGTAAAAATACATGCTTTTAAAAAATTTGTGATGATTCAGTAGAATCAAGCTTTTATTTGTATTTTTGATATAACTTGTTATATAGTCTCCCGAAATAACATCTATATATGTATTTGTCTTTCAGGAGTTGATACAAAGTTGAAATTCACTCTTGAGCCATCTTTAGGTCAAAATGGTTTTCAGCAGGTAACTTTGGTTTTGGAAACACTCTTCTTTTGGGGGTACCAACAGGGTACATTAGGATATATTCTCAAAGTGGGAATAATGTGTTCTTTGATATGCACATGAAGATGACTAACTTCAAAAGTATTTCAGGTAAAGTAGCTTTTGAGCTACAAGTGGCCTGGTTTATATTTGCAATGAAAAGTTTTACACTTTCTATTAATGGTACATGTGCAAAAAAGTTTTAAAATTAATAAATTTCACACCTGTATCATAATGTCTATTACTGTGAACCCCATAATATATGTTTCAGCTTATTAACCAGAGCTTCCCAACCATTTTATGTGTACTGCAAAGGGGTCACAGATGTGTTAAGGGTGCCGAAGGGGTGGGATGTGGCACAGTAATAGCCATGGACTGATGATCACTTCTGTCTGAAAAAAGCTTTGATTGTTTTCTCCATCGTGCTGTGGAAATTTCAACATACAATGTGAATGTCAAGATTGAAAAGGGAAAAAGATTGAAAAGTGCTTAGCTAGGTCACCATGATCACTTCCCAAGATTTCTTCTTTGTTCCTAGTGGTATGATGCTCTCAAGGCAGTTGCCAGGCTGTCCACAGGAATACCAAAGGAATGGAGGAGAAAGGTAAGGAGGACTCACAGGACTGGAATACGGAAGGATCATCACTGCCCTTCTTTAAAGTCTCTGGAATGTCAAAAAGTATATAGGTTTAGTTATTTGAAACCTATCTTGATTATTCATTCATGCAATAAATATTGATTGATTATTCTGTGCCAAATTATGTTCTAGGTACTAGGGATACAGCAGTGGAAAAAACAAAACAGACCAAAGTTTTTGTCCTCATGGAGCTTACAATGAATAAGATATAAAGTATGTCAGACAGTAATAAGTACAATGGGTAAAAATAAAGTATAGAGAGAAATAAGGAACGTTTAGGAGGAAAGGGATAGGAGGTGGAATTTTAAATAGCAAAGTGACATTCGAGTAGGTCCCTGAAAGAGGTGAGAAGCCAGACATGTAACTACCTATGGGGAGATCCTCCAGACAGAGGGAACAGCCAGTGCAAGCACCCCCTCAGCCTTCAGGTGGGAGCATCTCCTGCCTCACCTTTCAGTTGTATTCAAGCAAAGATGGGGTGTGGCAAGGCTGAGGCACAGTGAACAAAGAGAGAAGAAATAGGAGAGGGGGTCATAGAGGTGATGTGGTGGGTTGGGGTGTGGCAGATCGTGGATAACCTGGTAGGTTACCATAGGACTTGGGCTTTTGGTCAGTTTGAGCTAGGAAGCATTGGGAAGTTTTGAGCAGAAGAGTGACATAATCTGACTTTTTTATTATGAATGGAATACTCTGGCTACTGACTTGAGAATATGAGAGACAAAGGCTGAAGTAGAGATGAGTAGACTTGCAGTAGCTCAGGCAGGAGATGTATCAGGGTTGTGGTGGTGGAGATGGAGATCCTAGATGTATTTTGAAGGCTGAACTGACATGAATTCCTATTGGGTTGAATATAAGGTATAAAAGGAATGTAAAAGATGACTTCAAGATTTTGGCCTGAGTGATTGGGAGGTAGAGTTACTGTTTACTCAGATGGCAGGAGGAGACGTATGTGTGTGTCTGTCTGTATGTGTAGGTGGGGTGGGTGGTGGAGCAAGTGACTGGTTTTGGATCTGTTGAGATGCCTATTAGATATCTAATTTGAAGGTATCAAGCAAGCATTTGGATATATGCTTCTAATGTTAGGAGAGAAGTCTGGAGATATAAATCAATGTTGTTCCTGCTAAATTATGTTTAAATACCAAAACTTGAAATACATGCTTAGGACATTAATTATGAGTCTAATCTTGATATTTCTAGAATTTGAGCACTGAGGGTTCCTCAAAATATATATATATATAAATGACATTATGAAATACAACTTTCAGAAACAGATTTTTCTGGATAAGATAATCAAAGGAGTAAAAATATCCAGTGGCTCTTTTAAAAAACTTATTCATTATGAGAGCCCATCTGTCAGTTTTGTGTACATGTGTGAGAGAGAGAGATGATTTAAAGGCAGAGGCCACACTATGGTGAAAAAAGCCCCATTCGCCATGAGTGACCAGATGGCTCTTGCCTAAGTATGGAGAGCATTCAGAGCCAAGTAAAACAGGCTTATAAGATTATGCAGGTTATTCAATGAACAGAAATAAAATTTCAAAATCTTCTTGGTTTCTCTTCCTAACAGTATCCCTGGTGCCTGGATTGCTGCTTGACACATAGTAGGAACTCAACAAATATATATTGAACAAGTAAATAAAAGGCCCAATATAGTGCAATTCAGTAAAGCAAAAACTCAATGAGGCTCTTGTAGGTTTCGACTTAGGAGTGATGTCTGGTCTTGGGACATTTCTTATTTTCTTGTTGAATACAATAACTACTTTCTAATAAAAGATGAAATTATGTATTCTACTTTGGCATTCTTCTTTGTCTATGTAATGTTTTAGGTTTGGTTGACCTTGGCAGATCATTATTTGCACAGTATAGCCATTGACTGGGACAAAACCATGCGCTTCACTTTCAATGAAAGGAGTAATCCTGATGATGACTCCATGGGAATTCAGATAGTCAAGGTAATACCCCTGAACTTGGCCTGTCATCCTAATACAGAAGAAAGACTCTAAGAGCCAATGTTTTTTGGACAGAGGATCAGATGATCTCTACCTTCTGGTCTGAATGTCTGTATATTTTCTGCCTTCTCATTTCATTAGCTTTTTCATGGGGAACCTTGACAATGTATTGTCTGCGTAAATTTAAATGTTAGTGAATGAGCTAACATTTAAAAAGAAAATGTCAGGGAATGAGCTTTCATTCATATTCAATTTATTAGTCTTCCTCACACCATAGGAAGGACCTTTTATCATGGGTCAATGCTACCAACTGGATTTTTATGTAAAAGTCACTGATTGAAAAAGTTAAGTATATTTCATATGAGAATCATTTGGTTCTTATTAGGGTCTTTGATAGTTTCTTAACGCCATTTTCTAAAGATAGGTTCACAGGTGGGTCTGTTCCAACCACATGCTTGTGGGTTCAAGCCAGCTGTGTAGGCAGCTGTGGTTTGCCTACCTGGATTATTATAGCTGAACAGAGCCTGGTGCTAAAAGCCAAGGATGCTGATTCTGATTCCAGTCTTAGCCTCTTACATAAGGCTGTAGCACATAGGTTTTGATTTTATATGAGTACATTGCAGTGTGATGCTAAGCTGGAGCTTTAAAAGGAAAGTTGTTTCATCCAAATTTTGGCCACCTCAAGATGGCTAATGTTTTGGCATGTTTGGAGTTTTTTTTTTTTTTTTTAAGGAGAAAGTACTAACTAAAATGAGCTGCTTTTTGTTCTAACTTGGTCTGTTTCAGACAAATGCTAAAAAAATTATGCAGTTTTACATTGTGTACTAAAAAGCCTTTGCATTATTCACATTTCAGCTATATATTTGGAATTTTAGAATATGTTTCACAGAGATGAAGTATCTCATATTTCAAATATTTCCTTTCTAACTGGTGAATTAAGGCAGTGCATCGTTTGTAAGAATCATGTTATTAGGAAGATCTTTTATTTTCTCATTGAAGTGAATGCTATGTCAGTAAATGACTTCAGCTCTTGAAAATTGTAGTCCCTGCTTAGTAATTAAATTACAGATATTGCCTTCATTAAATGTTAAAGCATAGCAAATATTTCTGTCTTTCTTATATAAATTCATAAAACAATTTGAATAGAATGATTTTTTCTCTCTATAATCACATATTTTGCTATTTTGATTTCACTCCTTTATGTTATTTAGAGTTTTGATAGCTAAGTATACTTTTTTTGTAGAAAGAACAAATGTTAGCCTCAAGCATACATGTATTCGGATGACTGTTGTTTTATCTGAGAAATATTATTAAAACAAACTATCAATTTATATGAAATTATAATGTAATTATTGTTGATTCTGGGTTGCTTTTTTGTGGTAATCCTAGAAACATTTTAAGTTGAAATTTGCCTGACTGAAATTGCCCTTGCAAATCTCTCTTAAAATATTACATACTATTTCATATTACAAAATATTAAGAAAAAGAAAGCTAAAAATGCATTTTAGCTCATATGTATAAGCCACATGTACATTTTTGAAAAATAAAATTTATGTTGATAAATTTGACTCTGTTTATTGAGTCAAAAAATAATTAAAGGTATTTTTTTGGAAAGAATTTATTTTTGAAAATATTATTTCCCTTCCATTTTAGGACCTTCACCGCACAGGCTGTAGTTCTTACTGTGGCCAAGAGGCTGAGCAGGACAGGGTTGTGTTGAAGCGGGTGCTACTGGCCTATGCCCGATGGAACAAAACTGTTGGGTACTGCCAAGGCTTTAACATCCTGGCTGCACTAATTCTGGAAGTGATGGAAGGGAATGAAGGGGATGCCCTCAAAGTGAGTAGCAGGTTCTGACAAAAGCAATGGACATTCTTCTGAGAGTGAGAAATCGAAACTATAATCTCTCTTCCTTGATGTCTCATCCTTTTCCAAACCTTTGTAATGATCTGTGATAGCATTTCTTCCAGGTTAAAGCCATGTCAAGTGGCAGACTCACGTAGTTGCCAACTGTGAGGCAAAAGATCATGTGTTTAGTCTCATTTATAAGACATCATATATATATATATATATATATATATATATATATATATATTTTTTTTTTTTTTTAGACGGAGTTTTACTCTTGTTACCCAGGCTGGAGTGCAATGGGGTGATCTTGGCTCACCACAACCTCTGCCTTCTGGGTTCAGGCAGTTCTCCTGCCTCAGTCTCCTGAGTAGCTGGGATTACAGGCATGCGCCACCATGCCCAGCTAATTGTTTTGTATTTTTAGTAGAGACAGGGTTTCACCATGTTGACCAGGATGGTCTTGATCTCTTGACCTCATGATCCCGCACCTTCCTCTTTAGAAGCCAGTCACCAGGTTCAGCTCATAGTCAAGGGGAAGGGTTCATACAAGGGTGTGACTGGGTGGGGGTCATGTTAGAACTGCCTCCCACACTAGTTATGCTTAATTATGATTGGATTGCCTTATTAGACTGCTTTACTCCTTCATATTTGGAGCAATGTATGGAGGAGTTGGGCTGAGAGTGAGTGTCAGTGGAAGGTGTTTGCATGGAGAAGCATTATGGAATTGACTTATATTATTATCTTTTAATCTTTGATGCCTAGGACCTTTATTAGTTAAAACAAATTTTGGAAACATGTTGAGATGGGGCACTGGTGATGTAAACTTATTGGTTTGCAAGTGAGTCAGCGAGTCACCAAAAATAGAGTGCTTATGAGAAATGAAGCATTTTAAATGTGGAGACTAATGCCAGTTTGCTTCAGGCAATATGGGGTTATTAATTCATATTTGAACCTTTAAACTGCTGTTGACAGCAATGCTTTGTAATGTATGTGATAGATACTTTGTCTTCGTGTTCAAGGACTGCCCCCCGCAACCCTACTCCCAACAACCTGTGTTTGACTATGGTGAATACCTTATTGATACTCTCAATCACTGACTAATGTGATAAGGAAAAATAAACAAATATTCTTGGTTTTATACATATGATGGTGGACTAGTTATAGATCCAGCCTGACACGATCTAAATCTGTTTTCAACCTCTCACTTTTTCCATTGATGTATTTAAGGAAGCAACTTTGAAGTTACTTGTTCATCAAATAGGTGGGAGTAGGTGGAGGATGGCAGTGACAAATACATGACTTTAAGAAGATTTTTATTAAGAAGCAATTTTGTTTACTCAGTCTGTCAGCTTTCATCAGTTTTTTTTTTTTCAGATCTAATTGGTATGACTATAAAATAGGAATTGTTCTCTAGAGCAATTGGAATAAGTGATTCAAGTTAGGGGGTGGGATAGACACATTCAGGAGATGAAATGTACATGTCAACCAAATTATAAAAGGGCTCAGTAACACTTGAGAAAGTAGAAATTAAAAACTCACATAAAAATATGGATTAAAGATAAAAAACTGAATATTTCTGCCCCCATGAAAATGAGCTCCATGCAATGAGATGATGTCATCATCCTTTAAGAGTGTGTAGATCTTGTGGTGAGACATTTAATATGCAGAAGAAGGTTGGCTTCATGAAGAAACACTTTTGATGTCGAGGAAAATATTGTATGTCTGTTTTTCCAGCCTGGCCTCTACAAGTCATAATTACTAGGAAATGTATACTTATTAGAAATAGGTGAACTATTTTCCCTGCTTTTTAGGGCTTATGTTTTTACTTGGCAAATCTTTTAACTTTTTGTTAAAATTCAGAGTTCTCCCATTATTTAGCCTAATTCAATTTTTTTTTTTTTTTTTTTTTGGAGGCAGTCTTGCTCTGTCATCCAGGCTAGAGTACAGTGGCATGATCTTGGCTCACTGCGACCTTCACCTTCCAGGTTCAAGCAATTCTCCTGGCTCAGCCTCCTGAGTAGCTGAGATTACAGGTATATGCCAGCATGCCCAGTGAATATTGTATTATTAGTAGAGATGGGGTTTCACCATGTTGGCCAGGCTGGTCTCAAACTCCTGACCTCAGGTGATCCTCCTGCCTCAGCCTTCCAAAGTGCTGGAATTACAGACTGGATCTGTGTCTTCATATCAGACATTGAGATGCCTTCCGATAGAGAATTTCCCTGTCGCAGGAATTAATATGATAATAGAAGAATTTTTTTTTGTGCTTGTTTTCATGTAATTTTGAGGGATCATAATTTCTCAGTAAAAACCAAGTATCTTTCTTGGTACTACATATCTTATCCTTAGATGAAAATTACAATAATTGTCAGCACATTACCTTTACATCTGCATTCATGATCCTGTAAATCCCTCTAATCCTGATCCATAGAGTGCTAGGTTCCTGCAAGGGCACCCTACCATGCTTACACCTGCTCTCCCCATCAGCTGCTGCCTCCCAGAGCTTCATCTCCCGACAAAGACTGAATTTACTCCTTTTCTTGTTGCTGAGCTCCTATTTCCAAGATGATGATCCATTTACCTGGTAAATTTTATCCTAACATAAGAAGGCTAAGGCCCTCTGGGTCTGGCCACCCTATGCCAAAGGAGAAGTTCCTTCCTGAGAGCATGCCCCTGCCCTACTGACTTACTCCAAATGATGACCCTGAGAAGTATAAATTATAAGCTGGGGAGGAGGGGAAAATGGGCCCTTGCAGGGTGGGAGTTTTTTTTGGGGGGTGGGGGAATAGAGTTTTATGGTATCCTGAAAGTCAAAATGTGAGATAGCTAATTTTCTGCCAACATAAAGCCAGTTAGGTATATAGAGCCATTTATGATTTTGTTCATAATTTTGTTTTTCTGGTGCTTTGGGGAAGGAGCTGGTCTTTTAGGGAGTGGGTCAGGGATAGAGCATGCCAGACCTTTTTAAGAATGAAGCGGCCTGAATTAACACCTGGATATTCTTCAGAAAACTGCAACAAAGAAAGTGGAGGTGGTGATTCAATGCTATTATAACTCTAAAAATATTTTACTTCTCTGATTCCACTGTACAAATGAACCTAAACATTGAATGAGAATACATGTTTTCAGGTATTTTTGTTGGTAAGAGTTTGGTGGGAAAGAACCAGGGATTGACATACAGAGCTCATATGTGTTTGGGTCATTCTAGAGGTTCTTGACATTTTAGAAAAGGTAATACAAGTAGAAAAATCAAAATGAAAATAGCAATTTGAAGAACCTCTATGACAGTCTTATGAAAGAAATACAGATTTTGAAAAGTACCATTTGTTCAAACAAAGCCTAGTTGCATTTTTCCAGGAAGTGGACCAAAAGTCAACATGAGTTGCGCTATAACCCAGGTTGATGGTGAGTAAATCTTGAGAGCTACTTCAGTGGGGTGTTTTATGATAGGCCTGCTGTTAGTTTTCATATTGAGGTTGTAAAGCTGTATTGACATCAAGGAGCCAGCACTGAGGCTCTGCTGACTGCTGCGCAAGCTTGTGCTTTGTCATTTCTCAGGATGACGCTGAGGGTTGCATAATCACAGCTACTTACAGGCTGAACACAGGTCTAGTAGCCCATCTAGAAATTTCAGACAGCAGCAGAATTGGGGTCTGAGTTACTTAGATGGTTGTGCCACATGTTCTCTAGCCAGGCTGTAGGAGAACCTTGTAAATCTGGAAAATTTGGTACTGATGCATTTAAGGATGGTGTGCTTAGCTAACAGCGTTTTATCTATGTGAATACTTATTTTCTCTTTAGGATATGTTGGCATCCCAGTTTTTACAAAGCAGTCTTAAACTTTATCTTTTTTTCTTTAGATTATGATTTACCTTATTGATAAGGTACTTCCCGAAAGCTATTTTGTCAATAATCTCCGGGCATTGTCTGTGGATATGGCTGTCTTCAGAGACCTTTTAAGAATGAAGCTGCCTGAATTATCTCAGCACCTGGATACTCTTCAGAGAACTGCAAACAAAGAAAGTGGAGGTAGTGATTCAATCCCATTATAACTCTGAAAATATTTGACTTCTCTGATTCCACTGTAGAAATGAGCCTAAACTGTGAATGGAAATATTTATTTTCAGGTATTTTTGTTGGTAAGAGCTTGGTACAATGAAATAGATTTTTACAAAATGAAAACAAAACTGAAAATAACAAAAGGCCATATGTTGAACCTCTAACTGGTCATAGTTAGGAAGTCAGTGAAGGGCCTAGTATGCTAGTACCAGATCAACAACTGAAATGATGTACTCTCGATGGAGTACCGTGTGCATGTCTTACTATCTACTTAAACTGCTCTAAGCTGGCACCAAACCTGTAGGAGTCTTTACAGCTGAGCTACAGGTACAATTTAGTACAAACGGGATTTACCTGAACCATTGAGATTATGAAAGAGTAGCTAAGAGCCTCTGCTATCTAGTGGACATCGTCCAGCCTATGGAAGTGTCTGAGCTAGTAGCTGTGTATCCACTGTTTGTACTTCCCTGGCTCTGTGTACAGAATAGTCAGGAGTTTGTTGTGTTTCCTCCAAACCAGTGGTCCCCAACCTTTTAGGCGTCAGGGAACAGTTTGAGGAAAGACCATTTTTCCACAGACCAGGGTAGGGTTGGGGGGATGGTTTCATGATGATTCAAGCACATTACATTTATTGTGTAGTTCATTCCTATGATTATTACATTGTAATACAGAATGAAATAATTACACAGCTCACCATCATATACAATCAGTGGGAGCCCTGAGCATGTTTTCCTGGAACTAGATGGTCCCATCTTGGGGGTGATGGGAGACAGTGACGGATTATCAGGTGTTAGATTCTCATGAGGAGCGTGCAACCTAGATCCCTCACATGCACAGTTCACAAGAGGGCTTGTGCTCCTATGAGAATCTAATAGTGCTGCTGATTGACAGGAGGCAGAGCTCAGGTGGTGAGCAGTGGAGAGTGGCTGTAAATACAGGTTAAGTTTTGCTTGTTTGCAGCTCACCTCCTGCTGTGTGGCCTGGTTCCTAACGGGCCACGGACACAGAGACACCTGAGTGTCTCTAGGTATTTCCTTCTAAGCCACTTGAATGATCTCATTTAACTTGGCTCTGCAGTATAACTGTGTGGATTTTGTAATGCTTCTGGAGAGGCCAATCTTGCCTGTCCCCTAGTCAGACACACTTTAGTGAGCTACGTGTTTTTACCCAAGTGTCTTACACTTGGCTATGAGAAACAATCCCAGATTCTAGTCTCTGAACAAAGATACTTCCATTGTTCATAGGAAGAACAATGAATACAGGAAAACAGATCTCTTTTTAAGTAGTTGTACATATTGGATGTAATTTGGAGGGAGGATCAGTCTATCTAAATTTTTATATTTCATAAAAATACATACTGATCACATAAAGTAAGAAGGAGGACTATGTTTTTAGTAAATTCAGAAATTTCAAAATTTGTTGGACCCCACATCTTTAGTTGAAAATATTTTAAAATGTAATGTTTATTCTCTATTTTGGGATTTGCCAGCCATCTTTCTGTTAATGATTTCTAGTTTAACTCCACTGTGGTCTACTTAAGAAGTTGATAGATAATTTATGTGAGCAATTTTATTCTTACCAAAGGAGCATGTGAATAAAAGTGGGGATTATATGATTTCGAAAGTCTGATGGCTTTTGCTTTTGAGAGGCTGAAATCCTTTTCTTCTTTTATTTTTGGTGAGGAAAACTTTCTCCTTAATTTTCAGCTCACTACAATAGGTAGAGCCAAAGTAAGTTTTAGGTTAAGATTTCCTAAGTATTGTAAATATTTTATGAAGTTCATATTTATTAAACACACCTATGTTCTTCCAGAAACATGGTAGGAAAAATAGGAAGAAAGAACAAGAGTTTAGAAATATGAAGAAATCGGGAAATTTAACAAATTCGAGGGGATATGGAAGACTAAAAAAGGATATGTGCATATGTTGCCAACCATCAGTTCTGAAGGAACCGAATGTGTTTTGTTTCAGGTGGATATGAGCCCCCACTTACAAATGTCTTCACGATGCAGTGGTTTCTGACTCTCTTTGCCACGTGCCTCCCAAATCAGACCGTTTTAAAGATCTGGGATTCAGTCTTCTTCGAAGGTTCAGAAATCATCCTAAGGGTGTCGCTGGCTATCTGGGCAAAATTAGGAGAGTAAGTGATTTCCACCTTCTGCCCTGCTCTGTGATGTAGAGGGCCTTTAGCAGTTTTTGTGCTATAATGTGTAAAGCATTGATATTTAAGTGTGAGGAAAAGAGAAAGTTGTGAACTTTTAAAATTACTTTAGCCTCCTGAAATCTCAGCAGGCTTATTGTTGGCAGATGCAATCTGTTTTGGAGAAGGGTCAGGCTCCTTTAGGCCTGTAGATTCTCCCGCTTCTCAAGTGCTTGTGTCCTGGCTGGTTCACTCCTGGTCAGCATCTCTTTGGACACTAGTTGGGAAGAGGGAAAGGAACTTAGGTGACAGAGAAACTGAAAGATCTGGTTATGAGTAGGTGAATTTGTTAGTTAATATCACAATTTGGATTGTTGATGAATCTGTTTTATTCTGCCTTTCAGGGCTGTGATAAAATTAAATGAGATAAGATATCTAGCTTGGTAGAACACATAGAACTTCTTTCCTTTCATTAAGAACTAATTATCTGTTGAAATGTGTTATTGCCAAAACATATTACCAAATAGATTTTGCTTATATTCTTTACTAGTAGCAGGACTGAAAAAGATAGGGTATTTTTCACTCATCTTTGATATGTTATGACTACTACATAAGGATTGTACATTTTGGGTAATGGAAGAAGCATTAGGGTGAAACTTACAGCTAAGAAGTGGTGAAGTTTTTACTGTTTCTTTTCTGGAGCTATAAATGACTTGAGTGTTTTCCCATAGGCAACATGTCAGAAAACTAATAAATCACAGGCACTGTTTTGTTTCAAAAACCTTTTAACTAGCCTTTGTATTTATGGTAAGTTGTTTCCTGGGAGACTTCTGGCATTGTAAATATTTTTGCAAAGAAAGACTATCAGTTCAGGGACTTAAAAAATTATTGTGTGTATTTTTAAACATCACCTAGCTATCTCCTTTGCCTTTGTTTTATTGTACATTGCTTTTCAGCTGGGCAAATATATTCATCTGTATGGGATTTGCTGTGCTATTTACTTATCTCCCATTACCTCCGGATAACTACCTCTTGCTGCAGCCATGTATTTCCAACCTACTCTATACATTGTAAGCTCTTTGAGCTTTGATAGTTTCTCTGGGTGTGATAGTCCAGTTGCTGCATAGCTGGTTTGTAGCATTAAAACAGGAACGCACTTTACTGTATGGTGAGTCAGCTATAATTGCCTTTGTGTTGGTTCTTCATGAGGAAGCAGGAAGAAGAGAGGTGATCCTGGTTTTACTATGCTCTATCCATTAATCTGTAGGATCAGAATTTATTCCTATGATCATCCCAGGGATGTCACATGGTTGAAATAATACTAACTGCAACTGAAAGCCAATATTCATTGAGTGCTTTCATGAACAGCCACTGTTCTAATTACTGTGGATGTATAAACTTAAGTATTCTTCGTCATCTTGTAAAGTATGCATTATTGTCATCTCCTTTTTATAGATGTGAGAATTGAGGCACAGAGAAGTTCAGTTAATTGTCTAAAGTCACCCAATTACTAAGTGGAATGGCTTGAATTTGAACCCAGGCATCCTGGCTCTAGAGTCTGTGCCTTTAAGAATGTGAATCTACTGAATATAAATGGCTAGTATTTTTGAAGTTTAGGGGATATATGAATAAGAATAATAGAATTTTAACTCTTTCAGTTTTTGCTTATTATAGTTCTGTATGTTTTGAGCATGCAGCTTGTTAAGGGAGAGGAAAGGCAGTTGACATACATCATAAGTGCCTGCAGTGCCTGCCATTGTTAGGCAGTTTAAACACATCGTCTCATTCAGTTCTCCCAATAACCTTGTGGAGTAAGTAGGCTTATTCTCCCTGCCTTTTCAAGTAAGAAAATTTCCCCAGGAAGGTTAACTAGTTCGTAGTCATACAGCCAGTGAATAGGAGAACTGGGACTTTAAATTTGGATCATTCTGATTCTAGTCCCTGTAATCTTCTCTACAAACTTTCTGTTGGAAAAACCATAAATGGCATATAGATAATCTCCAGTTTATGTACACATACATAATGTGCCTTATATATGGTTATCCAGGATTTCTCCTTTCACCTGGCTTCTGTAACTTGGAATTTCTGCCTTTCACTCACCCCAAGGGTACTTTGGAATATGTAAATTGTAGACCATCAGCTCACCATCACTAGCATCTCTTTATGTGTCCTTTCTCTCTGCCCCTGCTGTTTTGGTTTCCTTATTTGTTACCTATGCCAGGCTCACTGTGGTGTGTCTTCCTTGGTTTCCCCATGGTACCCCACATTTGCCGTGCCACCTCCAGGCAGACCTTGCCAAGGGCAGAGCTGTTCCCTCACTCCCTATTTAAAGCCTTTTAGTGACTCATGCTTTGAAGCAGCTCAGCTGCCTGGTGAGGCCTTTGCTCTCTGCTGTCAGTAGCTCCCTTCCCTCGGCTCTCACTGGCTTCCTCTGGTCCTGCAACCACTCCCGCCCTGCTGGTCTCACTGGCTGTGCGGAGCGACTTGCAGTTCCCCAGATAGGGCCTGCTGTCTCCTGCATCTGTGTCTTTGGGATGCTTTTTCTTCCTGGTCAGCCTGAAAAGCATTGCTCAAAACTCACCTCAAGCATTCTTTCTTTCCTTATCTCTCAGAGAAAACTTAAACACCTTTCATTCATGCCCATAGGCTGCTCTACATTTTTATAGTAATACTTCAGCAGTTTATTCCATTTACTTATTTACATGATTGTGGCAATGGGATTACAACAACAGTCCAGAACCTCTTGTTTTTTCCATAATCATATTTCTTTTGGATGGTTTACAGAAATCCCCCAACATTAGTATATATCAAAGTGTAGGTCTGGTGGTTGGTGGAGAAACTAGAGTTACCCTACAATACAAAGAACATCGTCATATGAAATGAAAATACCTAGGCTTGGTGCAGTGGCTCACACCTGTAATCCCCCAGCACTTTGAGAGGCTGAGGCAGGTGGATCACTGGAGGTCAGGAGTTTGAGACCAGGCTGGCCAACATGGCGAAACCCCGTCTCTACTAAAAATACAAAAAATCAGCAGGGCATGATGGTGGGCAGCTGTAGCTTCAACTACTTAGGAGGCTGAGGCAGGAGGATTGCTTGAACCCAGCAGGTGGAGGTTGCAGTGGGCCAAGATCACGCCACTGTGTTCCAGCCTTGGGTGCCAGAGTAAGACTTCATCACAAAACCATAAATAAAATAAAATAGAAATACCTGGTACTCTTTGTTTTGGGCTATCCTGTTTCCCCTTTCTAGAAGAAAGATTGAAGTCCAATCTGACTCACAGGTAGCTAAGTATCAGATTCTTTATTTACATGTAGAACTGAATGCAAGGAGCAGTGTAATCTCCAACTAGCAGCAGCACCCTGAGAAGAACTCAGAAAATTCTGCCTGTGAAAACACCCTATGGACATGAAATATGCAGTTACAATTCTTGTAATTTTCATCCTCTATTCCTACTGTGATTTGGTTTTGAATCTATTACGTTAATGATATCAGTTTACAGATTAAGACCAACAGAGTCCCTTATTGGAGATAATTGTTCTTTAGTACCCAATTTCATGGTTATGATTTCTAATGAGTGTGGGTATTCTGATGTGTAGATTGTGACTCATGGAAACCATAAAGATGCCACGTGGTGGTTGTGAGGCTGAGGGAGCCAAGTGGGAATGACGGGACTTACCTGTATTGAGTTCCTCAAAGTTGCTTTTGGTATTTTTAAATGTTTCATCCACAGTGGGCTTTACAATTATCAGGATTTTGCTATTTGTTGATTGGTAACTTGAGTGATTTGATGGCAAAAGGCAACTGCCCCCCTTTTGTTTTTGAGACATGGTCTCCATCACCCAAGCTGGATTGCAGTGGGGCTGTCATGGCTCACTGCAGCCTTGGCCATGGCTTGCTGCTCCCAGGCTCAGGTGATCCTCCTGCTTTAGCCTCCTGCGTAGCTGGGACCACAGGTGTGCACCACAATACCCAGCTAAGTTTTAAAATTATTTGGAGAGGTGGGGTCTCGCTGCATTGCCTAAGCTGGTCTCAAACTCCTGGCCTCAAGCAATCCTCCTGCCCCCAGCCTCCCAAAGTGCTAGGATTATAGGTGTGAGCCACCACGCCCAGCCCAACACATCTTATACCTGCAGCATATACTGTTACACAGCATGGATGCTCTAAACAAGTTCTATTTTCTGTCCCTTCTTCATCTAGGCAAATAGAATGTTGTGAAACAGCAGATGAATTCTACAGCACCATGGGGCGCCTCACCCAGGAGATGCTAGAGAATGACCTTCTGCAAAGCCATGAACTCATGCAGGTGAGTGGGCAACATGGACCAGCTTGGCTCAGGGAACCCTGGGCACTGTGGTAACAACCAGTGCCAGAGCAGCGGCCTTGAGAAATGTAGTTGGTTAGCCATCAGACTTAGTGTCTCAAATTGACCAAGAGTCTGTATATAATTTGATAAGAATCTATGTCATAAGAGGGAAGAAATGAATAATGGATATTTATTGTAGCTTTCCTTCAGACTGTGTTGTTTAGAAGTCATTAGGCACAATATAAACTGGAAAAATACACTGGAAAAACAGAATCACCAAGTGCTTATTCTGAATTTTATTCCTAGCCTTTTTTTTTTTCTTTTTTGAGACCGTCTCACTCTGTCGCCCCAGCTGGAGTGCCAGTGGCACAATTGTCTCCTGGGCTTAAGTGATCCTCCCACCTCAGCCACCTGAGTAACTGAAACTACAGGCGTGTACCACCATATAGCTAATTTTCATTTTTATTTTTTGAATAGATGGAGTCTTGCTATGTAGCCTAGGCTAGTCTTGGACTCCTAGACTCAAGTGATCCTCCCACCTCGGCCTCCCTAAGTGCTGGGATTATAGGCATGAATCACTGTGCCCAGCCTACTTAGACTTGGTGGTGGGAAACAGTTACTGTTGGGAAGAAATTATCGAGGATAAAAAAGATTATTCTAATCAGCATTTTGATTCATTTGTTTTGCCCACATTTTCAACTCAGGTAATTATATATTAATTTTAAAGTGAAAGACTTGAAGGGTTTGGTTATTTTTTATGGCATGTTACTGTACTTTGATAACATATTCATCAAGTCTTTTAAATTGACAGCAAGCATAGAAAAAATAGCTGATAACACTGACTTATCCATTAGATTCTTTAATTTTTAATTTTTTGGGTACATAGTAGGTGCATATATTTATGGAGTACATGAGATACTTTGATACAGGCATGCAATGAATAATAATCAGATCAGGGTAAGTGGGATATTCATCCCCTCAAGTGTTTATCCTTTGTGTTACAGACAATCCAATTGTACTTTTTAAGTTATTTTAAAATGTACAATTACATTACTATTGACTGTAGTCACCTGTTGTGCTATCAAATACTAGGTCTTATTCATTCTAACTACTTTTTGTACCCACTAACTATCTCTACTTCCCTATCAACTTCTCTTTCCAGCCTCTGGAAATGATCCTTCTACTGTCTGTCTCCATCAGTTCAATTGTTTTAATTTTTAGCTCCCACAAAGTAGTGAGAACATTCAAAGTTTGTCTTTCTGTGCCTGGCTTATTTCACTTAACATAATGACCTCCATTTTCATTCATGCTGTTGAAAGTGACAGAATCTCATTCTTTTTTATGGCTGAATACTACTCCATTTTGTGTATGTACCACATTTTCTTTATCCATTCATTGGTTGATGAATACTCAGGTTGCGTCCAGATCTTGACTATTGTGAACAGTGCTGCAACAAACATAGGTGTGCAGATACTGTTTTGATACACCGATTTCCCTTTTTTGGATGTGTACCCAGCAGTGGAATTTTTTGATTGTATGGTATCTCTAATTTTAGTTTTTTAGTTTTTTTTTTTTTTTTTTTTTTAGGAAACTCCAACCTGTTTTCCCTAGTGGTTGTACTAATTTATATTCCCACAAATATCTACAAGGGTTCCTTTCTCTCCACATCCTTGCCAGCATTTGTTACTGCCTGTCTCGGTTAAAAGTTATTTTAGCTGGGGTGAGATAATATTTCATTGTAATTTTGATTTGCATTTTTATGATGATCAGTGATTTTGAGCATCTTTCTTTTTTATTTAAGTAACTAATTAATTAATTTTTTTGAGACACAGTCTCGCTTTGTCCCCAGGCTGGAGTGTAGTGGCACAATCTCAGCTCACTGAATTGTGGGTTCAGTAATCTCTTCTGGGTTCAAGTGATTCTCATGCCTCAGCCTCTTGAGTAGCTAGAACTATAGGTGTATGCCACCATACCAGGCTAATTTTTGTATTTTTAGTAGAGACAGGGTTTCACCATGTTGGCCAGGCTGGTCTTGAACTCCTGACATCAAGTGATCCTCCTGCCCAGCTTGGCCTCCCACAGTGCTAGTATTATAGGCGTGAGCCACCATGCCTGGCCTTGAGCACCTTTTCATAAGCCTGTTTGTCACTTGTATATCTTCTTTTAATAAATGTCTAATAAGATTATAGGAGTTATTTGAGCTCCTTGTATATTCTGGTTATTAATCCCTTCTCAGAAGAGTGGTTTGCAAATACTTTCTTCCTCTCTGAGTTGTCTTTTCATGTTGTTGATTGTTTTCTTTGCTGTGCAGGAGCTTTTTAACTTGATGTGATCCTATTTGTCCTTTTTGCTTTGGGTGTCTGTGCTTGTGAGCTGTTACTGAATAAATTTTTGTTCACTCCATTGTTTTGGAGAGTTTCTCCAGTGTTTTATTGTAGTAGTTTCATAGTTTAACATCTTAGATTTGAGTTTTTAATCCATTTTGATTTGATATTTGTATATGGCAAGAGATAGGGGTCTAGTTTTATTCTTCTGTATATGGATATCTATTTTTCCTGGCACTATTTATTGAAGAGACTATCTTTGCCTCAATGTGTATTTTTGGCACCTTTGCTGATAATGAGTTCACTGTAGGTATACAGATTTGTTTCTGGGCTCTGTATTTTGTTCCATAGGTTTACATGTCTGTTTTTATGCCAGTGATGTGCTGTTTGGGTTACTGTAATAGTAGTATAATTTGAAGTCAAGTAATGTGATTCCTCCAGTTTGTTCTTTTTGCTTGGAATAGCTTTGACTATTCTGGGTCTTTTGTGTTTCCATATAAATTTTAGGATTGTTTTTCTATTTCTGTGAAGAATGTCATTGGTATTTTGATAGAGATTACGTCAAATCTGTAGATTGCTTTAGGTAGTATTGACATTTTAACAGTATTGATTCTTGCAATCCATGAAGATGTAGTATTTTTCCTTTTTGTGTGTGTGTCCTCTTCAGTTCCTTTCATTATGATTGTCATTGCAGAACTCTTTAACTTCTTTGGTTATCTTAATTCCTAGGTAGTTAATTTTATTTGTAGCTATTATAAATGTGATTTAAAAATTTATTTTTCAGATTGTTCACTGTTTGCATATTGAGATGCTACTGATTTTTGTATGCTGATTTTTTATTCTGAAACTACTGAATTTGTTGATCAGTGCTAATATTTTTTTAGTGGAGTCTTTAGGTCTTTTTAAAATATAAGATTACATCATTTGCAAACAAGGATAATTTGACTTCTTCCTTTCTAAATTGTTTGCCCTTTATTTTGTTCTCTTGTCTTATTGCTCTAGCTAGGACTTCCAGTAGTATGCTGGATAACAGTAGTGTAAATGGGCATTCTTGTCATGTTCCAGATCTTAGAGGAAAGGCTTTCAGTTTTTCCCCATTCAGTATGATACTAGTTCTTAGTTTGTTGTGAATGGCTTTTATTATATTGACGTATATATTTTTTATACCCAGTTTTTTGAAGGTTTTTATCATGAAAGCATCTCAAATTTTAACAAATGCTTTTTTAGCATCAGTGGAAATGATCATATGGTTTTTGTCCTTCATTCTGTTGATATGATGTATTACATTGATTTGCATATGGATAACCATTCTTGCATCCCTGAGATAAATCCGACTTGGTCATAATCAATGCTCTTTTTAATGTATTGTTGAATTTGGCTTGCTGATATCTTACTGAGAATTTTTCATCAATATTCATCTGAGATATTGGCCTGCAGTTTTCTTTTCTTAATGTGTATTTGTCTGGTTTTGGTGTCAGGGTAATACTGGCCTCATAGAGTGAGTTTGGAAGTATTCCCTTCTGTATATTTTGAAAAAATTTGAATAGAATTAGTGTGTTAGTTCTTTAAATGCTTGGTAGAATTCAGCAGTGAAGGCATTAGGTCCGAGGCTTTCTCTTTACCGGGAGACTTTTTATTATGGCTTCAGTCTTGTTACTTGTTATTGGTATGTTCAGGTTTTGGGTTCCTTCATTGTTCAATCTGGGTAGGTTGTATATGTCTAGAAATTTATCCATTTTCTCTAGATGTTCTAATTTATTGGTATACAGTTGCTCATAGCAGTCACTAATGATCCTTTAATTTTCTGTGATATCAGTTGTAATGTCTCCTTTTTCATCTCTGAGTTTGTTTATTTGGGTCATCTCTCTTTTTTTCTGTTTGGCCACAGGTCTGTCAGTGTTATTGATCTTTTCAAAAATCCAACTTTTCATTTCTTTCATCTTTTGTATTTTTTTCATTCAGTTTCATTTCTGCTCTGATCTTTATTATTTTTTTCTACTAATTTTGGGTTTGGTTTGCTCTTGCTGTTCTAGTTCTTTAAGATAGATCACTGCCGGGCGCCGTGGCTCACGCCTATAATCCCAGCACTTTGGGAGGCCAAGGCGGGTGGATCACGAGGTCAAGAGATCGAGACCATCCTGGTCAATGAGGTGAAACCCCATCTATACTAAAAATACAAAAATTATCTGGGTATGGTGGTGCGCACCTGTAGTCCCAGCTACTCGGGAGGCTGAGGCAGGAGAATTGCTTGAACCCAGAAAGTGGAGGTTGCAGTGAGCCAAGACCGTGGGGTAACAATAGTGAAACTCCGTCTCAAAAAAAAAAAAAGATAGATCACTATACTATTTATATGACATTTTTCTTTTTTTAATGTAGGCATTTATAGCTATACATTTCCCTCTTAGTACTCTTCCGCTGTGACCCCTTAGGTTTTAGTATGTTGTATTTTCATTATCATTTGTTTCAAGAAAATTTTCAGTTTCCTATTTAGTTTTTTTATTTACCCACTAGTCACTCAAGAGCATATTAATTTTTATGTGTTTATATAGTTTCCAAATTTCCTCTTCTTATTGATTTGTAGTTTTATTCCATTGTGGTCAGAGAAGACACTTGATATTATTTCAATTTTTTGACTGTTTTAAGACTTGTTTTGTGACCTAACATATGATTTATCCT